ACAATCGTTTTTAATAGAATTTAGAGCCTTCATGTAGTCTGATTTTCTCATACCAATATCTGCGTTGTCACCAGACAGATGAGAGATAAAACCAACAGAAAAGTAGACAAATGGCCAGTCACGAAAGTAACGCTTCGCTTTTCCCTATAAAAATTCGCCGGTTCCTCATGTAAGCTAATAACAATAGAAGGTACATATGTGAAAATCGGTGTTTGTACACCCCTAAACGTTGAAACTATATCAAGTCGAAAGAACAGTTTTCAACAGAATGTACACATATCGGTTATAAAGATGAAACGTATGGACCACATGCAAAGCTGACATTTTTTTCTCAAATATCGAGAAATTATTAAATAGGGACATCTCATTTACATCTACATCTACTTTTATTAAGTTGGTATATTCTGAACAGGTACCACGCCAACCACCTCGCGCGCAAAGTGAGAAGACTACAGGAAGGCTTGAAATTATATTAAGAACGATTGTGATCAAGAAACGGGCAAGGAATATTCCACAATAGTGAAAATAATCGAGAAAGATGATCGCGGAAAAGCGATTGCGTGACGCTCGGTAAGTTGTAAGATGACATGTTACCACGTATCAGGCGAAAAAACAGTATAAATTCTCAATCTGCATTTTGTACCCAGTCTGCAGTCTGCAGTCTACATTTTGTACCCGGTCTGCAGTCTGCATTTTTCACTGACCGAATTTGTATTGCTGATTTTGTTCGAGTGAGCCTCAAGTCCGGACCGAAATATTGGAGCTCGAAAAAAATTTTAGTCAGATTATCTCGGCCGCTATGATTGATGTATGGACTGAATGTTGAAGAGCTCCCTTGGATAAGCACAATGATAGAGCAATGATTACTTTAAACCAATTAAAGACGAACGCAAATGCGCGGCTTACCAATAAGGCTGCCTCTGATGCTCTTCTGCGTGGTCACAACGTGTGTTGAAATGAAACCGCTGCCGGTCCCCTAGGTGTGAATATTTCGGCTTCTCGATTCAACTTGCATCTATAGAAGTTCGGGAATGTGATTTGAAGTTACTATTTTTATCAAACCGTACAAACATTTTATTTCTTTCCACACGATTTTCTGAGCTTCATCGAAATTAATTTTGACTTTCACTAAGTGGGGAGGGGTAGCATGCGAGACTACTTCCGTTCACGGTCTACAACGCAACTTCCGTCCACGGAATACAACTTCCGTCAACATCTGCTTCACCACAATACCTCATTCATTGCTTTCAGCGTGAATGAGCTAAAAAGGCACCATTTAGAGAGACACCCCCAGCCAATGAAGGCAAACACCCCTCTAATTCAAATAAATTTTCATTCAATTTTCATTCAAATTGTGGAACAAGATATGGTGTGAGAGAATGCCCGGTGTACGGCAAGACATGTCATAATTGTCAGAGACAACATCATTTCCTGAGCATGTGCAGGTCGCAAAAGAAAGTACATGGGCCAATGTCAACCGGAGAAGAGTATGATTGTGAGTCTACGCTGTTTGTGGGAGCAGTCACTACAGAAGTTCAAATTCAGAATGATGTATGCTATGTGACCTTACCAGTACAGGGACACCTTACACGACTTAAAGTGGATACTGGTTCACAGGTTAACATCATACCACTAAAGGAACTCAAAAAGATCGCAGGGGACAACCCTCACATAGATCCATGCAACCAAATACTGGTTAGCTACTCAGAAAATAAACTCAAAGTCCTAGGAACCGGAAGGCTATATGTGAAATCCAAGTTAGATGCTGATCAAGAGTTAACTTAGTAGAAACTAATCAGCCGGGATTACTGGAACTTCGATATTCACAAAACTTGGGCCTAATTAAAGTAGGGATTTGACCAAGAAAGAAGAGGAGCAAACCATACCGGATGACAGCAGCCAAACTGCAAAAGTATCTTAGGAAGAGGTAATTAAGAAATAGAAGCAAGTATTCACTGGATTGGAACGTTTGGAAAAAAAAACCTTACCACATTGAGGTAGACCCAACAGTTACACCCGTTATAACCCCCCCCCCCTCCCCCAGAACTATACCAGCTGCACTTCGAGAGAGAGTGAAAAAAGAGTTAGAGGATATGGAGAAGAGAGGTGTGATTCGCAAAGTGGAAGAACTTACAGACTGGGTAAATTAAACGGCCATTGTGGAAGAGCCTGATGGAAATTTGCGCATCTGTTTGCACCCAAGACACCTGAATAAAGCCATAAAAAGGGAACGCTTTCAGCTTCCCATTATTGAAGATAGCACAACACATATGGCAAATGCGTTTTGACTCTTATGAGGCCTTCAACGCAAGCTCAAGCGCACAAGGTAAAAAATTCAGCAAAATACGCGAAAAACTAAAGAGGCTGGGATTTAAACCCGAGGCATTTTGTTGTCATTGAAGACATTTTCCTACTTCCATTGTTTTAAAGGAGAAAAACATTTTTCGAAAATTGTTAGAGGCTGTACAAAGTTTCTTGCGGTTGTTCTTTACAAGAAAAGTGGTCTCTGCTTAGACGTTTGTGAAGGTGAATGTAGGATCCTTTTCCTGACGGCATACGGGCGGATGCTACACAGCTCTACCAAAGCAATAGCAAAATGAGTGTGCATGCTTATGACGCGCATGAAATTCTGCGTGCGAAAAGGAATGGGAATAACGAAATTTCCACTTTAACATTATAGCGCAAAATGGCAGCATTTTTTAAATTCGTATTGTTTGTATTTTTTCTTAGGAAAAGCTGTTACCAAAACAGATAAGGTTACCATTTTCAGGATAGTTTCTGTCAAACCTCCTCTGCCAAATATCTTATCCAACAAAAAAAATATTTTGGCAACAGGTGCGAAGTTTGGTTGTAAGGTAGAGCATTTTCAACGTGGCCACAAACTTCGTAGCCCGTGTTATTGTCACAGCACTTCTTTTTTATCACCTCCTCAGCAGGCAAACCGCCTGGCGAAAAGGTTTGTTGTCTCAGAGGAAAAACACGCCGTATCTCTGCTTGTAAAAGAAGAATGGTTGCCTTGAACACTCAAATGGCTCGTGTAGCAGAAGTGGAAAGGAAATTTTGTGTGTAAATTTCATTATCATAAATTACGAAAAAAGGAACAAGATCTACTTGTGCCAGTTACCTTCTCATTCTTTCACTCTGAGTAATACATCCATTCCCACGAGACTTTATGGACTATTGAGGGGACATAGTGGTGCACAAGTTATCGGAAAAGCGCCAACAAAACATTTGCCTCAAAGACCACTTATAAAGAGCCAGTCGGGAGAAAAACCGTAATTAGTTATAATCAATGCAAAGGCTGTCTTCCTCTGCAGCATAATTGAGGTTTACATACTTCATACATCTACATAATTAATATTACAATTAATGATGATGATGATGACATAATTCTCACCTTGTTTGCACGAATAGATCGATAGCTTAAACAAAAATCTTGTCAGTGGAAGTTATCCACCATTAAAATTATGAAACATTTCAGTTTAGGGTTAGGGAAGATAACTAAGGTTAACACCAGGTGTTTGACAACAGAAACATTAATAATTTAAGGAACTAAAACTTGGCTGTAGAAGATATTTTTGCCGAGCGCTTTCTTCTGGGACAAATTCCACGAAATATTAAGGATATCAAAGTTATCTTAAAACTTGTATTAAGAACATGTCGCTTTAAAAGCAACAGAGTCATCTCATTTACCTCTGTAACTGTTTGATATGAAGGCTACATGTTGGTTACTGGGTATTGTACTGTAACTCAAAAGCTGACTAGCAGATACACCCTGTTTTCTGTGATCTGTCTTCTAATAATGTGCATTCTTTTAATGTTACTTGGGCAAAATGGCATAGTTACATGCCCATTTCCTAGTCCGCTTAAAGTTTATTACCTAAAATAGGTAGGAATGTGAAGTATTTCTGGTACTTGGATAAACAAATGGAAACCTAGTTTTTAACATTATGCATGACAAATTTTGGTCTGACGGCGACTTCTTTGTTCGAAATCTGGACGCCAGCGTGGAGCTCCACCAGTATCTGTGGCTTTCACCGAGGAGTTGTTTCTTCTCTTGATAGACTGGTTCTGTGTCTTTCTTCTTTGGGCCAGTTCTTTCTTCTTTTTCCTTTTTTTTTTTTTAACCAACGACGTCTCTCTTCTTCTTCCCTTAGTAAAAAGGAACCACATTTGAGTTTTGTCAAGTGCGAAATTTAAACAATATATACAAATAACATGAAAAACAATCCTCAAGATGAAAGGTTGCTACGAAAATTCCTCCCGGGAGATTCACCCAGGTACGAGATTTGGATACCTTCCTGATTTATCACCTTTTATTTGAAAATACGTTTTCCTAACTAACTCGGAAGCTAAAATTTGGTTTTTTGGGAAGTTTTAGGTACAATGTCTGAATTGAATGGAGTAAAATTAAAATAAATGAAAATTTTTTTTTCTGCCCATGAAGGTAGGAAGTAACCTCAAATTAGCGCGTGTCTTATGCCGCTGGTCTCTTACGCATGCGCAGACTTTTGCCGCCCACAACCAGCAAGTTAGAGGGACTTGTCAACGAAAAACTTGAAAACATTTTCTCATACAAGTGAGCAAATAAAAATTGCTTCGCTAAAACGTAGCCCCACTTAGGGGACTGATTCCTGGCGAGCAACCTTTCGCGAAACAAGCGAGCACGACGGACTTTTGATATTACAGATTACAGCTGAGCACAACACCGTATGGGTGACGCGTACTCATCCCCTGAAGAAGATTAGCAATATGCAGTCGAAACGTCGCGGTTCACATTCAAAATGGCCACATCGTGAAGAAACGACTATATTTTCTGTTGAAAGTTTTACTTACCTCGATGACAAACTACAAACCTCTGTTTACGATATCTGATAATTTCCAGTTCCCAATTTTGAAATAATTTGCGCAGGAAATTAGCGCGAATGCCGGTAAGAACTGATGGCATTGCGCATGCCTTACGTTTGACCGCTGTGTACATGTGTTACCTGACAGATCCACGTGATTGTGTCCTTCTCCGGGCCAGTTCATTTCGTGGGGAATCTGTAACGCAATAGCGCGTAGGTCAGTACATGGTGAACTTGTCCCGGGAAGGGGCATCCATTGTGTAATTACAACCTGTTAATAGCTCTTAACTTAAAAAAGTTAAGATAAAAATATTTTTGTTGGGGAAATTTCCATTACTCAGGTCATAGCTCGTCTTGCTTGATCATGTGACAGCAACGAGTAGTTGTGTAATTGTGGGTTGGACTTCAAACGTAATCCTGAGTAGCTCTCAAGATCTAATTCGTAGCTATTTAAAATATCTTGGTAATTGTTATTTCTGACTTTTGTTCAATTTGTGTGGCGTAGTTGTAGGTTTAAAGTCCCGGAAGATATGGGAAGAAGAAATCGGATCGAGTGCTTTGCAGTCATACGCATTTCAGGATCATTGCTCTCTTAAGGTTTGCGAACCATTTTCATTACCTTGGTGGCGTTAAAGTTTCAAATTCTGCCGTTGGTATAGTGTACTATTCAGAACAAGCCTCCTCACTTCTAAGATATTTTGATGATTTTTCCGATATGGCTCGTATGGTTTACTTTTAGTGGAAAGTTGCATTATCGATTCAAAGCAACCCTTTTAATTTGCTGGAGAATTTCTTTCCTCTGCGTACGTGATTGCGAGATCAGTCCTTGCGAGAGACGAAATAAAGGGTGTTGATAAGCATGTCTCATATTTAGTGCTCAGGTAGGATATTTTATTTGTTTGTAGGTTGATACAGAGGTCGTTGTAACAGAACTTGCTCTGAAGCAAAACTCACTCGACCATGGTTGCAACCTGCTACAATAAAAAAGGACAGAAAACCATACTGTTTTATTACAAGAAGTTCTTAGGTTTGCTTTTGTAAATAATTAGGCTCTATTTTCAAAATATTGGCTGTTGAATACTGTTGTTATTATATGTGACATTCCTGAAAACTTTGTCTATGTTGCATTATGTTTGCAAAAGTTTTCATTGCTAGAAACTATGACGTCTTCGTGACATAAAACAACAGTTTTTATAAATGACCAAGTTTTTACATATGGAAGTCAACACACTCAGATACATTATACCTGGTTCACTAATAGGAAAAATAGGTCTGCACTGCATACCTGTTTCTAGTGCAAAACGAAATTGCATGTTTACAGCTGTACTGCCCTTTGGGTCTGTTTGGAAGGTATGATGAAAGGATGTCAATAGATGCTAGATGCACAGGTATTAGGTGTAGTAGTCTTCCAGAAAGCACTGTGACTGGTGGTTTTTTTTGTGACTGGTGTAGGGCATTAGAGGCAGCTTTTAAAGTTCTGTCTTAAGGTTGGATTTGACAATTCAACTATTTGGTTTTCTTTTTTTTTCTTTATTAAGGACAGGTTGTGAACATAGCCTGTAGTAACTCTTTTAAGGTTTCCCTCTTTTACTTCTGGTTCTAGAGATAATGAAAAGGGTTGTGAACGAGACATCAAATTTTAGCAAAGGCAGTCTTGTACAGGGAATCTCAATAACAAGAGTCCTGCTTCATAATGGATAACTGGCAAAAATGTATTTAAAAGAGCAGTAGTAATAACTAGGTAATAGAATGGTGATCAAACCACTGTCAAAAGTATTTGTAACCACATCATTGTTTTGCTTAGGAGAGTTTCTCAGCTAATCAGATGTTAAACTAAATCAAACTGCGACTACCTTTGAACAGAATTTTGCTAATATTCAAACAGTAGCAAATACAATTTTAAACAATATCAGTTTTTGTAAATTTTGGTACAGGTAAAACCCTCATATTTCAATGCAAGGTTTTCTGTAAAATAAAACAGTGCCAGGTACAATTTAGGTACAATTTAAAATTTCTTAAAATGTATTAGTGCATGTTGATGAAAAGAAAAGTGGCAATGAACAAAGTACAAAAGGTCAGTAACAGAGGCAAAATGTGAATGAGTATGATCAGAAGCACACTGTGCATCAGTAACTTTGAAAAGACTGGTTTACACATAGAAATAACCTTGCTTCCCCACTTTAGCCTCTCTTTAGGACAAGACATATTCTACGACAATAAGTTTTTTTATAACATTTACTTCTATTCACCCCAGTTGCAAAGAGGGAATGTATAAAAGGAGAATTTTTACCAATTAGCAGAGAAAGCATCAACAAATGCAGCATCAGGGTCAGGCTTCCAATCCTCACATAAAGCCTTGAGAGTCAAAACTACTGCTAATAATTCAAGGTAGTTTTTGTGGTGGTCCATTTCCCCCCTGTCTTCTGGTTTTCCCTTACACCTCCTCATCCATTGGCAGACGAATCTGTTTTGATATGACAAACAGGTTCCCTATGTGGGATATATTTGAATGAAGAATCTACATTTGAGAGCTACCAATGAATCTCTGACTTGGCCTTTGGGGAGAGGGTCAAAGCATTAGTTTCATTTGCCTTAAGACTATGGTAATGGAGAGGGCCATATTCCATCCCTGGGAGGCTGGATACTATCAGGCCTATAAGCTCTGCCAGATTTCGGAATTTACAAGTGTTCTTCTTGACTAGGTTTTGGTAGGCATTTTGCATTTTTTATTTCCTTTCAGTAGCCTACTGTACAGTCAAGAGTGTCAGTGCCTGAGCTGGCATAAGCACTGATTCTCCACAATGTGTGGGAAACCCAAGTTCCTCAAAAAGCAAGGTGGTGTCTTAAACATTAGCAAGACTTTCATCAAAAGTGTCACCTTGAAGATAACAGTCATCGATATTTGACAAAGATATATGGCCTTTCTCTCTGAGTATCTTAAACACTGGTTTTAAGAGCTTAGTAAAGATTTTTTTGCTGAGGCTAGACCAAAAGGTAAGCAAGTATATTGGTACAGTTTGTCCCACTATATAAATTTGAAATGGTTTTGGTGTGCCAGAGCTACCGGCACAGTGTAGTAGGTATCTTTTATGTCTACTGAGGCCATCTAGCACCCTTGGGTCATTAAGCCTGTAACACATTTTAGGGAGTCCATTTTAGAGTGTTGATAGACCACAGACTTGTTCAATTCTGTTAGGTTAAGAATCATTCTGTACTCTATCCCTTTCTTTTTGGGTGTGAGAAAAATAGGTGAGAAACATTCTCTCTTAGAGTGAACTAACTCCACAATAACCTCTTTGTCCAGGAGTTTTTCAATTTCTGCTTTAATAGTAATTGATTCTTTGGGAATGAATTTTATGCTTGTAGAGCCACCACACTGATTTGGTGGGACATCGTTGATAAATTCAATATGACAATGACCCAGTCCAAGATGTCGTTAATTTTTTTCCATGCTGGGAAAAAAAATTGGTGTAATCTTCCAGCTTAAAGAAACATTCCAAACCTCAGTAGAGTGGTTTTCTGGCCCTATTTGCTTTGCTTCCTCCCCTCTTGATTCTGCTTGTTGTATGTGGGGCTGGGCCTTTTCCAGTTGAACTGTTGGCTGCTCATACTCTCTACTTGTATCCAAATCCTTTTGATTTGTTGTACTTGAAACTCTTGGATCCTTGGTTTTTGTGGGTGTCCATGTTAAGTTGCTTTGACTTAGCTCACTTTTGTAACCTCAACCAGGGTCTCTAAGTTGCTTGGACAATTCAAAGTCGTCACAAAACAGACTCTATAAATGGCACAGAGCTTGACCACAAGTGTTTAAAATTTTGGTTCAGTTCGGTTTGATATTATCTTGTCATCACATGTTCAATTTGAAGTTTGCAGCTCCTATTAGAGCAGTGGCATCTGTGGCTGCCCTGATTAAGCCTGGAACGTTCAAGACATCATTAGGAACTTTGTCCTTTTCCTCAACAAGCTTCTCAACAATAGGGACCATGGGGATAACTGCTTTTAGAAGCACAGATTGCATGCATTGTATTTGATGTTTGACCCTGTGTCAGGTTTGAGTTTATCCCAAATAAGATGATAAGGTCTATTATATCAGTTCTGTGTCTCGGTTAGGACCTCATCTGAGTGCGTTCTCTCATAAGGCCATGTACAATCTTTGCTAAGTGCTGTTTAACAGCATGGTCTTTCTTGTGATCAAGTTTGAGGTCGTTTGTTATGCCTGATAGCACGTGAATTTTGCCAACAGCTTCTTGGTCATGCTCTTAGCTCTGACTTATCAGGTTTGTAATGCTCTGTTTAGTTGAGTCAGATTGCTGATCTTTTTCAAATATTTCTGGCTCCAATGCCAAAGTTCCTTGATAAGGAACATCTGGTTGCCCCATTGGTAGGCTTTTTTGTTCTGTCATTGGAGTTTCCTTTACAATAAGGCTTTCCAGCACTGCCTTCATATCACTGAAGAATTCAGTCATGGTTGAGTTTAATGAAGAGAGGGAAGAAACAAGCAGGTCACTCATGATTCCAATGACAGCCACAATGGCTTCTTTGCCTGTTGCCATGGCAACAGAATCTGCCTTGTGCTGTTTAGTTTGTTCAGAGTCCATTTGCAAGTATCACTCTGAGTGATTTTTACCCAAAGGAGAATCTAGCAGACAACTGCCAAGTTTTTTTTTTTGCCACTTATATATATAACTATATTGCTTTCAGCCTGGGACAAAGGGGGAAGAGCATGGATCACTCAGGCAGCAGGTGCTTTTTCATGTGACTTTGTAGAGCACATGATGACAAGGCAGAATCTCCATTACCCAGTGAATGTGCTGAATTTAATTGGATCCACATACTGTTGCCCCCTGATGTTTAACAGTTCCTACTACCATAGGCCAATTGTTTTCCCTTTTTCTTGTAACCAAAGTGTTTAATATAGCTGAAAATTTAACATGTTATGAGTAAACCCTTGAAGAAACCATAAGGCTTATTTGAGTGACAGGCTCCTCATATTTTAAACGTGAGATATAAGTTATGATGTAATTTAGGTACAAAATATTTTAGGTCAAAAACAAAAGAACACACACACCAAGAAAACAACAGCAACAAAATATATGATAAACATATGGTATCCAATATCTTGGGGCTTTTCATTTGATAAAAATCATGATAAAGATACTTTGGGGTTCACCCTCAACAATTGGCTTGTCACCACAAAACTTATAGCATCTTAATATGATCTAATGAGAAGGAAATACAGATACTTAAGAAATCTAATAATGGCAGATTTATAAAAATGGAATAGAAGAGACCTAAAATGAGAGTTATTAAAGTCCAATTGGTAAACAACATGATTTACTTTTGTGGCATTCTCTTTTTGGGATCAAAGAATAATTAGCAGGTTGGCAAACAGTTCAACAGGTAAGCAAACAAAGTGTGCATGTAAACTGAAAGCATGGTCAAAAATTGTTTCACTGCATGATAGATCACAGGTTAATTTTCTGGCCTCAACAGCTATGCCTTAAACAGTTAATCACAAATAAATTATCAATTACATGTCAATCAAGGTGTTAACTTAAACAGAAACAACTTTTGTCATTTAGTCAGCAACACAAAAGAAGTGGTGTGTTTGTTTTTGTAGAGGTTAGATGGTGAAGTTGTGGTTCTGATTAAATCTGATGGTGGCAGAAGAAAAGCAACAACTTGGAAGCAACTTACACAGTGTTCTTGTTGCTTTTGTTGGTTTGGATTGACAAAAATAGTGAAATAAATTTGAAATACAAATTTAGATTACAACCATTGGAGAAACTGACATCTCACCCACTAACTTTCTACATGTATGTGATGATGGGTGTGGATTGGTAAGAGGGAGTTTAGAAGCAGTATTTGAAAGATCTAAAATTGGGAATAGGGATGACAAAAGTGTTGGAAAGAACTTGCCAGATTTCTTAATTAAATCTTAACTAGTATTGAGCACTATGATATCTCACTAGAGCTCATGAATAACTTTTAAGAGGCTTAAAGAGATTGTCAACATTTTAATGATAACATATATTTAAAGTGAGAATCAAAAAGTGATCTTTAACAGTTTTTATTATCAACAGTAGGTGTTTCCTTTCAAACAACAAATTTTAGGTCATCAATGTCAACAACATTAAAGAAAACTCCAGCCTTGGCAAGTGTCATTTCAAAAGGTGGAAGAGGTGTCAATGCAATCAAGTTTTTAAAACCCAAATATTAGTTTAAAAAATTATAATAAACAAACAAATATGGGAATTAATGTATTTAAAATATTGTCCCTCACACATGCATCCCAACTCCATGAACCCACATCCTTTAGATAACTGGCTTTTTAATTGAAGGTAATTTGCAAACATGGGAGGAATAAATTCAATGAATTCTTAGTCAAACTTTAAAAAGTATATGATACTGGAAAACAAAATAAGTTGACTCGAAGAATTAAAAAGCAGGAAAAATTTATATTGTGTTAGAGATAAGCTAACAGCACAGAACAGCACCCATAGTACCCATAATGTTTTATATTATGACTACTATTATCTAAAATATTACTTGTAATAATTTCTCTTTACTATTATAAATTGTCTGGTCTTAATTTAATTTGTAGTACTTGAAGTAATTACAGATTATGAGTGCGTTTGTGTTAAGGTACTTAGGCAAAGTTGACATTGTGTGCCACCCCAAAGGTGTAGAGGTATATGCAAAGCTAATAAACTTGGGCAGACCATTGGAACAAAGGTGTTGTCTAGTACATTTGCATATGTTTACTTTATATGATGAATTTTTTACAAACCTGACAGATTGTGACAAGAGCAGAATTGTGTATTAATGGCAATTGCAGAAGAGC